CGCGGAAAAGCGCATTCGATAGCCCTATTAGCGCCCTTTCTGAGTAATTTTCTCAGATTTGACCTAACGTCAACGGTTTTGCCTGCAGGGGGCAAAAACTGCAAAAATAGCCGATTTTTTCGGAAACAGTTTTTCTGCAATAACTTTTGACCCAAGCCTTGTACGAGCTTACTTTTACCGGCATCGTGTTCCTCTCGTCACGACGCATCGAATGAACTATAACTTGACCTTGAAAGGTCAACTTGAAAATTTGACCTCAGGTCAAGGTCATGACCTGACCGGAAAGGGTCATGTTGCATATCAGTCGATCCGTATCGTCGAGCTGAACACATCTAAGGCGTTTTCATCGCTCTAGCATGCCTCTATCAAAAGTTATTTGCGAAAAACTGTTAGATACCATTCGTGACCTAAGATGACCTCAGGGCATAAACAGGGGTCACGGACACCATTTTCATGTTCAGTGTGTCTAAACCACTTGTAATTCAGTGTTTGGGAGCGTTTATAATGTCTTTCGTCCAAAAGAAGCGCATTTCAATTTTCTCCCATTGACTTATAATGGGGAGGTCGCAAAATTGACCTGACCTTAGGTCATCGATGTCAAAATTCTGAGATATACATTTTGTACATGCTATTGCTCTTAGCAATCGCTGAAAGTTTCAAAGCGATCGGTCACTCGGTGTAGCTATGACAGACATTGAAACTTTTTATGAGGTGAGGTCACTTCAAGTGACCTGGTGACCTGACCTTGAATGACCTTGGTTTGAAATTTTCACAACATGTGTAGAATTGATGTATGATAAGGTGTACCAAAAACGGCGGCGCTCCGCGCCGCCGTTTTTGAGATATTCGCGAAAAACCACAAGGGGGGTGTTCAAACACCCCCCAGCAGGGCGCGGGTTAATAACTAGCGCCTTGTATTTCAGCTCCATCATCACCACCGTCTCCAGCATGACAATCACCATCACCATCACCAGCCAGCACCGGCTCCGGGATCAAACCCGTCACCAGCATGTCCGTAAGTGTCGAATCATAAAATGACAATGATCATGTAAAACTCAAAAGTTTTTTCCAATCGTTCTAATTTTGACCAATTTCCTCAGTTTGTCTTACTTCTTGTTCTTACTGTGCCTAAAACGCTGATCTCAAAACCTGACTGCTTTCAGATCATCAGATCATCTAACATTACCAGCACCACCACCAGCACCACCGGCTCCGGAACCAGGTTCACCACCAGCCTCCGTGAGTACAGACGCGATAACCGGGCACTGTTGCCTCTTGCTTGTCTCTGGGAAACTCAAACATTTGGCGATGTTCAATGATGCAGAAACTATAAACAAACTAAAAATGAAAATAAGAATAATAGCAGTGAAACATTTGATTTTTTCATTGTCTCCGTTGGGTACATTTATATTTATTCGGTCTACCAAACTGTCAGTTCCCACTCTTCTTTGATCTTACCATACCAATAAATAGTCCTTTACTTGGCACGAAAAACACCATAAACGTATTTTTTCAGTTATATATTTCACGTTCTTGCTATATGTTGTCGATACTTTTTGTATTGAATGTACTTGTCCGAACATTTTTGTTTATTTTGCCGTAGACAGTGCTACCGCTCTGTCTGTATGACAAAGTGATCGTTTCGTCTGTCATATATAATGATTCAATCGTTCATATTGTTTCAGGTCCGCCATCACCACCATCACCAGCACCATCAACATCATCATCACAGCCACCAGCACCACCGGCTCCGGGATCAAATCCTCCACCAGCCTCCGTGAGTGTCTTATCATTGAATGCATCCTGAAACGTAAAACTTGTTCTTTTCTCAATGTTACATAGGATTTGTGGTCCACGTTTTTTGCATAATCAGATCGATATGAATAATATGATACAACAATAATAACGGATTCCGTCAGAACTTTTCTGACCATAGGGCTGGTTGAGAGGTGAACCCACTGTATTTTATAGGAGTTCTATCGTTTTGTGGTCAATTTGTATTATCTCCCTTTCAGGTCATCTACCATCACCACCACCAGCACCACCGGCCTCAGCACCAGGCCCGCCACCAGCCTCTGTGAGTACAGACGCGATATTGGCGGGCACACTGTTGTCCGCTGTACTCGTCTATAGGAAATAAAATATTTGGCATTTGTAATGTTTGCAGATAATACTAATAGAAAATATGAATAGGGATTGTTTTTTTTTTTTATTCAGTTGATCTTTGTTAGCTATAATAAGAACAGTTCTGATTGCTGACTCTTTATTTGGTCATGAATGGTCGCGGTTCCACGTCAAATAACCACGGTTATCGTTTTTTATATTATTTGTAGTATGACTTTCATCGAATTATAATGAGCGAGCAATTGATACAATTTAGGCACCTCCAAAACTATTGTTGTGATATCTCCTGTGTGGTTAGCATTTGTATTGTATTTGTATTATATACGGCGCTAATTGGTATCTACGTACCTAATAGTTAAAACGTTTGTATTATTTCAGGCCCGCCACCATTACCAGCACCACCACCAGCACCACCGGCTCCGGGATCAAGTCCTCCACCAGCCTCCGTGAGTGGCTGATCTTTGAACCTGAAAACGAAAAACTGGTTTTGTATTATAAACAGGAGATTTAGTGAGTAATTTCTTCTTCATAATCAGATAAAGTGATGTACTGTAGCATTATATTTATTCAAATACTGATGACGGATTCTGTCAGGAAGCTTCTAATCGTAATATGTGGTAAGAAAAGAAACCACCGTAATGTATTATATATGCAGCAATCGGGCTCAATTTATAATTTTATTCCTTCCTTTCAGACCATCAACCAGCACCACCACCAGCACCGCCGGCCTCAGCACCAAGCCCGCCACCAGCGTCCGTAAGTATCTTATAACATATTGGCCATAAAGGCGTAAACATTTTATTTTATTCGTAATTTCGAGACACAATCGTAGTTCCTTTCTCATCACAAAATGTAGGTAGATGGGCCATTCATTGTAGGTGTTGTAGCAAATAGTTTGTCAGAAATGCCCAAAAACGTAAGACGTGCATGGGTGTAACTTTGTATACTTTAGAGGTCCCATGTGGGACCCCAATGCGAACATTTGGGACCCCAATTGTCATTTTGGGACCCCAATAGTGGAGGCCCGCGAGACGCACCAGCCACTACAAATGGAGGTCCGATGTTCATATAGAAGGTTCTCTGCATAAATAGGAGGCCCCTTAGATAAATAGGAGGCCCTGTTCGACATATGGGAGGCCCCCTGGACAAATAGGAGGCCCCCTGAACAAGTAGGAGGCCCCCCCGGAAAACAGGAGGCCCCCTGGAGAAATAGGAGGCTCTCTGGACAAGCAGGAGGCCTCCTGGACAAATCAGAGGCCCCTAGACAAATAGGAGGCCCCATGGACAAATAGGAGGCCCTCTGTACAAATAAGAAGCTCTGAACAAATAGGAGGCCCCATGGACAAGTCAGAGGCCCTCTGTACAAATAGGAGGCCCCCTGCAAAAATAGGAGGCCCCCTGGACAAATAGGAGACCCTAGACCTAGACAAACAGGAGGCCCCTTTCACAAAAGGAGCCCTGGACAAATAGAAGGCCCCTTTCACAAAAGGAGGCCCCCTGGACAATTAGGAGGCCCCCTGGACAAATAGGAGGCCCCTGGACGAATAGAAGGCCCCTGGATAAATAGGAGGCCCCCTGAACAAGAAGGAGGCCCCCTGGATAAAGAGGAGGCCCCCTTAAAATAGGAGCCCTCTTGATAATAGGAGGCCGCTTGGAGAATAGGAGGCTTCTTTAACCAAAAGGAGGCCCCCTGGACAAATAGGAGGCCCCATGAACAAGTAGGAGGCCCGTTGGACAAATAAGAGACCTCTTGGACAAATAGGAGGCCCCTAGAAAAATAGCAGGCCCCTTGAACAAATAGGAGGCCCCCTGGACAAATAGGAGGCCCCCTGTACAAATAGGGGACCTCTTGAACAAAAAGGAGGCCCCATGGACAAGTAGGAGCTAGAGGCCCTCTGTACGAATAAGAGGCCCCCTGGACAAATAGAAGGCTCCCTAAACAAAAAAGAGGCCCTTCAAAAAAGGAGGCCCCTGGACAAGTAGGAGACCCCTGCACAAATATGAGACCCCTGTTCGAATAAAAGACCCCTGGATAAATAGGAGGCCCCTGGACAAATAGGAGGCCCCTGAACACGTAGGAGGCCCCCTTGATAAAGAGGAAGCCCCTGGAAAATAGAAGCCCCTGGATAAATGGGGACCTTCTGGAGAAACAGGAGACCTCCTGGACAAATAGGAGGCCCCCTAGACGAATAGGAGGCCCCCTGGACAAATAGAAGGCTCGCTAAACAAAAAGGAGGCCCTTCAAAAAAGGAGGCCCCTGGACAAGTAGGAGACCCCTGCACAAATATGAGACCCCTGGTCGAATAAAAGACCCCTGGATAAATAGGAGGCCCCCTAGACAAATAGGAGGCCCTCTGTAACAGTAGGAGGTTCTCTGTACGTACAAATAGGAGAACGGCGCTCGACCTGTAGAAGCTCAGCTGTAAGTACAAAAAGGAGGCTCTCTGTGCAAGTAGTCGAAGTGGGAGGCTCTCTGTCAGTGCTGCCAGATTTGGAGGATTTCCGCAAATCTGGAGGATTTTGAACTCTATTTGCAGACAAATTTCGCTTTCGGAGGATTTTTGATTCTGGAGGAAAATCTGGAGGATTTGTCGCCCGATTATTATGTTCAATATCATGGAAAAATATAACACATTCAAGACTAAAAAGGCATTTTCCTGCCCAGCGTCACCCTACCCGTTAGGATATATCACGTCCTTTATCACCGTGAGACTGCAGAATGTCTCAGTATGTAGCTATATCTACGAGGGTACCAAACTTCTGAAACTTCTGGGAGTGACGCTAGACAGGACGCTGAGCTTCGGCCCGCACTGCAGAAGTCTCCGTCGGCGCGTCCGGCCCCGAGCGGCCCAACTCCGACGTCTCACCGGCCGCAGCTGGGGGCTGCAAGAACAGCAGCTGCGCGCCGTCGCAAACGGCTACGTGCGCGGCGCGATAGAGCACGCGGCTGCTGCCTGGCTGCCGGCAGTGTCCAAGTCCAACATCGAAATCCTGGAGCGGGAGATGCGCGCCGTGGCGAGGATCGTCACGGGCTGCATACACTCCGCACCACACCACGGTGTGACGGCCGAGGCTGGCATGCTGCCTGTCGCGGCACGACGTACTGCGCTAGCGGCGCGTATGTTCGCGAAGGCTGCCGCGCTCCCGCCAGAGGACCCCTCCGAGCGGTCGCCATGGCTGACCCCCCTCAGCGCCTCAAGCTGGTCACGGGGTGGCGCCAAGTAGGCCGGGAGGCCCTGCGGGAGCTACGGGTCGAGCTGCCGGTTGAGGCCCTGCTACCAGAGCGACCGCCACCGTGGACGCCCACCGGCAAGATCACCTTCAACCTGAGCATTGGCGCGCTGCCCGCCGGTGCGGCGAGGTCCACGAAGAGAGACGTAGCGCTCCATCACCTGGCGTCCATGACGCAGTGCGCGACGTGGGCGTGGACCGACGGCTCGTCGAGCGACGGGATCCTCCGCGGGGGGGCTGGCGCCCTCATCGTCGGAGCTGATGACAGCCGCACCGAGCTCCGTGTCCCAGCGGGCACACTCTGCTCCAGCTTTCGAGCGGAGATGGTCGCCCTGCAGGTGACGCTGGACCACATCCTGGAACACCAGCGGGACGCACCAGAACCAGTCATTATATGTACCGACTCGCTGTCGGCGGTAGCGGCGCTGAGAGAGGGTCCGTCGGCACAGCGCTCGGCCAGAGGCGCTGCCATATGGAAGCAGCTACTGGAGCTCACCGCCGGAGACCGAACGGTCACCCTCCAGTGGGTTCCATCCCACTGCGGGATCCCAGAGAACGAGTCCGCCGACGCCCTGGCAAACGAGGCTGCGACGCTGGCACAAGAAGACGTCATGCTCGATGTAGACACCATCTACCGAGCGCAGTCCGCACCGCCAGAGACCGCGCCGCAAGGGACAGGCCGACATACCCGAACCCCGACCGCAAAGCCGCAACGGGGTGGTACAGAGAGCTTATGGGTGCAAGATGGCCACCACCTCTCACCAACATGGACAGGACGACAGCAGTAGACGTCCACCAGATCCGCACTGGGCGCTGGAGCGGCTCGGCGCAGTTTCTACATTCCATCGGACGAAACCCATCTGCGGACTGCCCACAGTGCAGGAACCTCGACTGCCCTGCAGCTCGTTGCCCGCTGTGCGGCGAGCAAGCCGACACACCTCGACACATTCTGCTGACCTGCCCGGGACTGATGGGGGTTCGCCTCAGAATCCCGGCGGTCGGCAACATACTGCCAACGGTGGAGGAGGTCAGGCGCGGCGACACGGTGGCGGCCCTGGTGGCCGCCTTCAGGGCCCTCCAGAGCTGAAGCTACACCGCGGCTCGCCGCAGATGGAGGGAAAACCAACAACAACAACAACAACAGGGTACCAAACTACTGGCGGATCTAAGGGGGACATTTGGGGCAAATGCCCTCGGTTCCCCTGCAGCGCCCGAAATCGACGAAAATTTTCGTTTCTTTTTGGAGGATAAAACGAAAACTAAACAACTTTTGTAAGAAAAAGTATCTTTTAAACTGCACAGCAGTGCGAAAGGATTCGAAATCCGATGAGTTTTTAGAATTTGGTGAAACTTTTTTTGGGGTATAGCCCCCCGCAGCATCCAAGACCGCCTTTCTATATCTACCAATAGGATTTGGAGGAATCTGGAGGATTTTTGTAACTGATCTGGAGGATTACAGCCTTCCCCATCTGGCAGCACTGCTCTCTGTACTGTACCTACAAATAAAAGGCTCCCTGGGCAACTTAGATGCTACACAAATCTGAGGTCACCTATAACCCGGCAGTTGCTGGGGTATTTCGCCACCCGCCGTTTGCTGGGGAGGGGCGTTAACCCGCGCGGGGCTGGGGGGGGGTAAATTTTACCCCCCCTCGCGAATTTTTGCGATATCTCAAAAACGGCGGCGCGCAGCGCCGCCAAACTTTCAGTACCTTTTCTTACATCAATTTGACACGTTCCCTGAAAATTTGAGCGAAATCCGTCGGAAAATTTTTGAGAAATTGACGTTTTAGTGACGTCATGTTCGCCATTTTCGCCTCAAAAACGGCAAAAGTTCAAACGCCGCTAACATCTTCATTTTTAAAGGAATCAAGACGTAACAAAAAAAGTTATACGTAATTTTACTTTGTCTATCAAATGGCTATCTCGGTTTTTTGAAAAATTTTGGATTTTGGCCTAAATTTTTTCAAAAAACTGACTTTTTTGGGAAAATCATTACAAAATCCAAAATTTTGAGTCTATCGAAAAAACCGGAATATATGTCAGAGAAGTGGTCTATGTGCACCTACATACCAAATTTTAGAAGAATCGGTTCAAAAATGTGGGAGTTATTCAAAATTTTATGACGTCACGACACACAAAATTTTTGAAAAATGACTTTTTTGGAAGTTCTAGACCTCGTACGGAAACAAAAATAGCACCATTCGATTCGCCGTGAAAAACTGCATCAGATAGACACCTTTTTAGGCCTTAACAACCAACTTCAAAATTTGACCTCACTTGACCTGACCTTGACCTGACCTCGACCTGAAATTCATCCAGAGGTGGTCCATATCACTTATTGAGTGTGCCTATTGAATTCTATGAGTAAAATGACCCATAAAACATGTGTCGCACATGCCCTTTTCTATATTTTGTTTTTTGGTGACCTGACCTGACCTGACCTGACCTTGACCTTGACCTCCGAATGATGTTGTATGCAACGAATATTGTCTTGGTAGCCTAAGAACACGTTTTGGGCGATCAGTCTCAGTCGATGACTCCATTCTTCGGCAACTACGGTGCAAGGCCGATACTGTAGAAACTTGCAATTTGTACCCTTGACCTGACCTTGACCTTGACCTCAAACTTTAAATTAAGTACATGTTTTTAGTAGTTCGTGATGAGAGCTTTCGATTGGCGTTTGAATTTTCCAAATCGGACCATTAGTTTGGGAGATAACAGGGGGGGGGGGGGGTAAAATTTACCCCCCCCCCCAGCCCCGCGCGTTCGGCTGGAGACCCCAGCCCCGCGCGGGTTAAACGCCCCCAGCCGATAACTTGAGAACCAATGGGCGCAGCGAAACGCACTAAGCGGCAAACGAAAGAACACGACAAGACGCTTCAGATGAGTGCTTGAAAGTTGAATTTCGAGGTCACAGGTCGGGTCAAGGTCAGGTCAAACATCTGAAATCGGGCTTTCGGTAGCATGGACTTCAGAACCTCGTAATGGGCGCCCCTCGTCAATAGCTCAATCAAAACTGTGCACAATCCTTCATATAAGTGCTACAAGAGTGTCAGATTCATGTAGGGGTCGGTCAAACATAGGTCAGGGTCAAGGTCAGGTCAATCAGGTAAGAACATACCCCCGAAAATCAAAACTGGTATTCGCAGTCTATGATACATGTTTTATGGGTAATTTTGGGCGAAGAACACGTTGGTGACATTTATAATCATACGAGTACGCGTTTTATTGAAAAATATCAATTGAAGAAATACATGCATCATTGTCGTGAAGTGTCACGAGAAATAGCCAAGATTCAGTCCAAGATTTTGGAAAATATTGAACGGTAATCAAAAATCGAAGATAACCATTTGATTGTACCTACATAACATTGGCAGTCTAGTGGCGTTTACGGCATGTCTGTATGTCTATTCTGTAATTTTATATGATTTTTCGAACATATGCCGTTTTTCGTTGAAAAATCAGAAATCATGACGTCACTAAACCCTCGATATCTCAAAAAATTTACGACCAATTTTTTTTGAAACTTTGGCACAATATACCTTGATCAATTCCTCGCAGGTACCCAAAATTTGGTGCGCCTACGGCGCGCCGTTTTTAAGCTACAGCGCGGCGAAAAAAGTGGGGGCGTTTAACGCCCCTCCCCAGCAACTCGCGGGATAAAAAGCGGGACTCTGTTGGAGTACCTGTTTGAATAAATTATTGTCCTGATATTCAAATCATTTAATCCTCGCCCGCACATGGGGGGGACAGTGGTTGTCACTCCCCCCCCCCCCCAGGTAGTTTTTTCTGCTCTGCGCTCAACATTTTGATTGCTAGAAGCCGGATGTTTCGTATAGCTGCTTCTCTATTTCTTCTTAGCGTCCACTGAAAATTTAAAGCTTCTGTGGTTTTTTGGTTTCGGAGATACTGATATGACCTTATTCTTCAGGTGATGTCATAGCCCAAATGACAAATACCCAATACCTATCTTGCGTTGGCTATGGGTCTTGTGAGCTTTTGACACTTTGATTTCGGCCTTTTTGCCAGTCTTACCTCCCACCTATCATGGAACATGTTGTTCGATGATGTAGAGATGCCAGGGTCAGGGTCAAGGTCAACCTAGGTCGTCTAAAATATTGCGTTTTAGGCAAGTTGAATTTACTTTCGTGAAGTTTCATTGACTGTATTTTTTGTAAAAGCTTCTCAGTTCATGATCTCATGTAATATGGACACATTCACAATCGGTGCAAACATCAGTATACACACAAATACGCACAGACATACAAACACATATCATTGACCTTGACCTAACTTGACCTGAAATGACCACAGCCAGCAAAAACCTAGTCGGATAGTGTGACAAAGAGGTTCTAGCTGGCTTGGCACCACAATACGGCAGCGTCATCGGTATATGATGAGCAGCACACGTGATATTCCAACGGGCAACGGTGAGCCCAAACAGCAACATTCTTTAGTTTGACATGACCTGGAAGGTCAATGACTGACCTGATGAGATAAAATTTGGTATCATTGGATTCGTCTCTTCCCAAAGAATCTGTTGCTCTTGACCGCGAAGCTTAAAATCTTGTAATAAAAAATTGTGGTGATGTAGAATAAAATACCTACACAAGCAGCGGACCAACCCATCATATACCGATGACGCTGCCGTATTAGTGCCAAGCCAGCTAGAACAGCTCTTTGTCACACTATCCGACTAATTTGCTGGCTGTGGTCATTTCATGTCAAGTTAGGTCAAGGTCAATGATATGTGTTTGCATGTCTGTGTATGTCTGTGTATGTACTGATGTGTGCACATATTGGTTTGTGTTTCCTTATTACATGATATCATGAACTGAGAAGCTTTTACTAAACATGCAGTCAAAGAAACTTCACGAAAAGTAAATTCAGCTTGTCTAAAACGCAATAGTTTTAGATGACCTAGGTTGACCTTGAACCTGACCCTGACATCTGTACATCGCAAAACAACATGTTCAATGATAGGTGGGAGGTAAGACTGGCAAAAAACGCCGAAATCAGGGTGTCAAAAGATCACAAGGCCCATAGCCAACGCAAGATATTGGGTATTCGTTAGTTAGGGCATGACATGACCTGAAGAACAAGGTCATATCTCCAAACCCAAAAGCCACAGAAACTTGAAATTTTCAATGGACGCTGAGAAAAGATGGAAAAGCAGTTATACAAAAAAATCAGGTTTCTACCTTTAAAAATGTTCAGTGTAGAGCAGAAAAACTAACTTGGGGGTGGCAACCATCCCCCCAGGTGCGGGTGAGGGTTAACCCTCACACTTTCTGGGGTCGACTAGATTCGTTGTGCAATGCTGTGCCGTTAAATTATTTTTTTCTATAATAAAGGCATTTTGTTTTAATGTCGAAATTGAAAAAGCCAGAAATTTTCGTCGATTTCGGACGCCGCGGGGGATATTTGCATACAATGTCACCCTGCTGGCCTGGATCCACCAGTAGGGTCAGGTGGCCTACCATTTCTTTATTAAAACCCTCGCCGGCACAGGCCATTTTGCGTCCTTCGACGGCACAAGGGGGGGGGGGTTGGTACGACCCCTCCCTCGCGTTTGGCCCCTGATCGAGCTAGAGCTTCGCGGAAAAAACGAGCGTGTTGCCCGTCACGAGAGCAAGCCGATGATACCCAATTTTAAGGTCCTAGATCATCGGCCGACCTTCCAGGTCAGGTCAATGACCCGAAAACCGGGAAAATCGGGACCTGTTAGAAAGTCGTAAATTGTGGCTGCTATGTGGTTTTCCGGGGTGCTGATCACGAATATCGTGTAAGTTTTGATCAGAGATGATGTCTTTAAGCATTTAGACCAGGTCGGGTCAGGTCAGGTCAACCGGTAGGGGTTGTGACGGGTATTCGTAATACGTGTCAACCGCTTCTGAGAGCTTCGTAACATGTTACGAAGGCACCAAAACTACTTTGTAAATGTTCAAATGGTTGCCAAATTCGAATTCAGCTCCAAAAACTAGCCTAGAAACATGTAAAACTCGAAAAAGTGAACCGATGTCACCCGAGGTCACCAAAGGTCAATAACCTGACCTGACCTTCAGGTGACCTTGACACCCACCCTAA